AGGAAAGTGTTGTTTTTAGACTTTTTCAGGCAATTTTTTAAATTTTTCTCTCCGTAAAAACCATCCTCATACTTCAAGGAATATTCTAAAAAAAGAATTAGCAAAATCGGTTCAGCTGCTCTCGAGATTTGCGCTTACCAACACATTCTGCGATTCATTTTTATATTATAGATTCAGATGTTCATTTGAATCTGTATAACAAAATGCGATTATGTTAAAGAAAATTATTGATTCAATTTAAATGTCATCAATATTAAACCTCTATAGATAGTAGGTATTACATATAATAAAAAAAGTAACAAAGGGAAATCGGTACATTATTTTTTCTTAAAAAAACAAAGTAGACCCCGAAACAATAGTTATTAAAATGTATGTCTGTTTGTCTGTATATTTGTGTGCAGTTAATTCTTCCTTCAATCATCCCAGCCTTAAGAGATACATCAAAACAATGTACTAGAAAATTGTAGTTCTTAAAAAGGTTTACGGAAAAGTCTGTAATATGTCTATCTCCTTTTACGCAAACACTATATTTTAATATTTATCTATTTAAAACGTACCTAAACATATTTAAAACATTAAAATTAAATTAAGAATTTGGTACAAATAGCCCTTCATTCTTATTTTTTACAGCTTAAATCATTATAGGAACACTATCACAATAATTTAATGGCAACTCTGATCCTCAATTGGTATTCAAAACAAATTTAAAACACAATTGTTGGTGATAAATACTCTAGACAAAAAATATAATTCATTCTATTAGTACAATCTATGGCGCGCATTAGAATTTGTTTATTGGTACGAGTACATTGACACGAATACATAATAATATAATAGAAAATTTTGAATGTTTGTATGTTTATTTATATTACGGTAAAGGACGTGTTTTAGACTAGAGGTAGTACTTTCTTTTATTTTAAGCCATACGTTATATTTTAATAGCAAGAATCCTTCGGTTGTTTAACAATTATATTGTCAGTCATTACGTTACATTTAAAAAAAATAAAATTTATTTAGGAAATTATATGAACGGTATATACAAAAATATTATAAATAATATATCTATTAGGCTAATGTATGATAAACAAATAAATTGTTATTTTAAAAATCCACAGACAAAGCACGGTGTTTCTATAAGCACTATTAATAAGTAGTACAACAATACTACACTCAAAGTATATCTCGTATCTATTTTAATCTTTATAATTTTGCCATACGGTACACTTTGAACCAATGCCAACTTAACTATGCCTCATTATAATAATTGATATGAAAAATAATACGTAAAAGGAAGACGCCGTGTAGGGACGTAGTATTTAGGACATGCGTGATGATAAGAGTAGGTAGCGGCTAAACTTTTGTATTTGTAGACATCACGCGGCGCTTTACTTCAAAGTAAATAGTACAGGAGTTAACGTTTTTCTTTAAACCCGACTGAAAAAAGAGAGGTATGATTATGAGTTTTATCTATTTTTCTTCTTCCTTTTCTCTATTCTGATGAGCTTTAATTTTCTATCTCCGAATCTTAGCTCTTTACATATTTGTTTATAAAATCAATAGTTCTACAATGATATAGTCTTGACCTGGTTCTACCAGGATAGTCTAACTTCCCCCCCAACGTGCGTTCACCTTGTCGTGGTGGGGGGGCTCAGTAGTGCCCGGCAATACAGCCAGGCGCGAAGCCAAGAAACGCACAGGGAGGTGGCCCACTTCGGTGGGCGGTGGGAGGAGGCCCTCTTCGGAGGGCGGTGTACCATGCGGGTTGCTCCTGGTATTTCTCTGATAGCAGGGTGGACCTTTGAGCAACCCCGTGGTTGTTCTGGTCTGCTTCGGCAGACCTGCCGTCGGGGCGTCGTAGTTGGATGCGTAAGCGATCCTGCGACGCCCCATTAAGACGGGGGAAGGTTTTGTTGGGTTTTATTGGGTAGTACTGGCTTTATTACGCCGGTGAGTCCCACACCTCGTGCGTAAATCATTTCCCAACGTTAAAAAAAAGGATAGTCTAACTTAAAATGTTACTTTTTTATCGTGTTTGTTTACTTAAAAAGGTGATGTATAATCTCTTGTACTAGAACCCTTAATAAACTGTCCACGTATATTATTGAGCGATCGCTTCTGTGAACACATCAGCAAATAATGCAGATGCGCGTCACTGCAGTACATTTACATGGGATTTAGGCTAGGAGCAACGTACCAGTATTTGGCTAAACAATACCCTTTTGACCTCTTTATACTAAATTGAAAGGTGGTGCGGTAATCAAGAGTTTATTAACTCGTGTTGTATTTCAATGTTATTTTACATTTTACATTATTACATATGGAGAAATGTAATTAAGGCAAATAGCGAATAGTTGAGTTATTTTTTACGTAGGTATATCTTAGAGAGTATAGATTTATATTTTATAGTAATGGTTCCATCCATGCTTTCCGCAATTATGGTGGCAATGTTTGGAGGGCTCTCCCGAATATGCTTTTAGGTACTTAGTTGGTACGTACTTCCAGTAACACCAGAACAGGAATTACAATTATTGAAACTAATTTAGATTTAGATTTTTTTGTTTATTCTGTCCTTTTTTTGTTTGATTTTGAGCGTGTTTAGTGTTGCCAGATACCAGACGAAACGTCTCGTTCTCCAGCTCTCAAAACTCGCCTGTCGCCTATGTGGAATGTTTTAATGGTAAAATAAATGATGTTGTACGTCCAAAAAAATTATATGTACACTAGTGATATACTCTTACTTCGTTCGGGTGCGTCTCTAAGTGTCTAATATTAGTCTTATGTGTCAGATCATAGAATATATTCAGTGTACTAAGACGAAGTTTTATCCAAAACCATCAAACCGAAGGATGAATAAGCATACAAATTTTCGCATTTATTATTCGATGTAGGTAATATTTGTATATACAAAACATCGAGAATTACTACATAAATAGTTTTAAGAGCGATGTTTCTATACAAATCTTGTTAGATTTTTTTTAAATACCTCACTGATGTTTCTTATCTCAGTGTCGTCTCATATTAAGAGCAAAAGGACAAAAGTATTACAGCCTTCACTAAAATATTTATAAAACATTAAATACGAGTAATAAGTAATCTTTCTAAAAATCCATTGAAGGATTAGAACGATGTAAAACAATGTCCTTGAATTAAAACCATCGATGGTTAACGACTGTAGTGAAAATGTTCGGAATATTTGTGTTAGAATAGTACAGAGTTGTTATCTCAAGGTGTGGACGAAACGTTTTAGCGTTTATCGAGCAGACTCTGATGAGTTTGTCGTGGTAATCTACTGCGCACGCGCCGGTGTCGAATAACTAAATACTTTTTAGACATGGCAAATATTATTTGTTTGGGAACGAAAAATATTAACGGTATTTTTTAGGAAAGGCTAAATATAACTTAAATTTAAATATCTAGGTAAACAACATATAAAAAAAAGGAAAATAAAACATATTTACTTATATTTATGTCAAATATTCGTGTTCATAACAAAATATGCAAATTTTTTATTTAGATTTAATGAAACATTTTTTTTTCCATGATTGTTTAACTTGTAAGTATTTATGACATTTCTATATATTTTTAAGTATACGTGGATGTTGGATTCATCTCATGAGTATGCGAGCCTTTCTTATCTGGCGCAGTAAAACTGGAGGCAAGCTTAATAGTTAATTTTACCTAAGTTTAGATGTTTTAGAAGCCACTGTCAATCTTTAAAAGGTCTCTTTTTTTGGGATATTTCAAATATTTTAGTTAAGAGACAATAGAACTATACCTATACATAAGTTACCTTCTTTTAGTACCTTTTCGCAACAATTTACCGGTTTTCTGGTAAGAAAAGTCTGTCACTCCGGCGAGATGCAAACACACGTTGTTCCATAACTTCGTTTTCAATGAAAGAAGAAACAAATCATTAAACACACTTAAACATTTTTAATAATAGGAAAGACTAGTTCTAGTCCACAGCTCCGCTCGTGTAATTTGATTATGTTTAACAGCTTCGCTCTTATCGCTCGTAGCAACGGTTAACTAAGTTCTCATTTATTCTTAGTACATAGGTAGGTACCTACTAGGTTCTATCTCTATACATTCATTTGTCATCATGATAAATATAATTTACTGACATTTTATATTTTATTTGTATATTTATTTAAATATGTATGTATGTTTATGTGTATTTTTTAATTTTTGTAAGTAGTTATATTATATTTGTAAAGTTTACATATGTAACAGGATTTTTTTCTCATTGATGTATTTTCTGGCACTTAATGGACCTGCTACTTAACATTATCTTTCGCATACACCACCTCTGCCTTTGTCCTTTACGTGCTATGTCTATACTATGTAATAAGTGCAATAAAGAATATACTCGTTATAACCTCCAGGTAAATTTCTAAGAAATTAAATTTCTAAGAAATCTATTGTTAACTGTGACGCCGGCGTGTCTGTGGTTGTTGAGGAATTAATATAAGTTTGTGCATTTTATTTATTCCTTTATCATGAAGAAATATCACAAAAGATAAAAAAAATAATCTTATATGGGAAGCCCGGGCAAGACGCATACGTTAAGGCATAGTGTAAATAAAACCACAAATTTAATAATCAATAGAATTCTTTGTACTTTTATTTTGTACTATGTTTAATCATCTTTGGAAAATAATCATTTAAATTAAAAAACTTTGACAATTTCTATAATAATTATGAGCTTTTACAAAAAGTATAAATTATCCGTTTTGCCCGGAGGGGTCGGGCAAAACGGATACGCCCCAAGGGCAAAAAGGATATGTTGAATTAGTTCACATCAGTCTTGGCATTCATCACAGAAGGAGCTGCCAACTCCTACATAAGAACTACAATCTTCATGTGCCCAACTTTTGCACTCATTACATTGAATCCAATCTTTCGCTGGTGGTTCAGTGTATTTGTCAGCGTACACTAAACAGTAAAAATCTGGTTTCAGGTTTTTGTTTTGTTGCTAGGCTGAGGATCTTTTAGTTTTAGTTTTTCTGGGGCCTTAACTCATAAATCTTGGTCTTCTTAATATTTGCCTTCTTAAACTTTAATGCTTGTTCAGCTTTGACGGGAGTAGACGTCAACACGTCTGATTCCTTCCTTTTGTGTTTGCGGCCTGTTTTAGGAGCAGCCATAGTTGGAATAGATCTAATCTGAAATGGCGTAAGGCTCGCTGCAGGCGTTGGATGATTTTCCCCTAGTGAATGAGCTGATCCTTCTTCTAGTATATTGGAATCAGGCAAAGGTGTAGTTTACTTAACCGTTTAGTCTCTATTTCTACAATGATAACGGACTGTGTGCAAGATTCAGCTACTGCGTACTTTGCGATAACAGATGCGATTTCAAGTAGAAACGGGTCAGTCGTTATTGCTGTTGCCGGAGAATCATTTAAAGCTCAGTCGATCATAGTCGTCGATGTGGCATTAAAAAGATCTTTGGTCATTGTCGACGGTGATCATTTACAGGACCTTCAGTCTTATTAGACGGTGCGTCAGAAACAGGACGGTCGGTCATAGTTGAAGGAGTGAGCATGATCTTCTTCTCCAAAAACATTTGGATCATAGAGGCAGATTCCCGGCTTTTTGAATCCATTAACTGCATTCTGAACCAAAGCACTTTTGGCGTATGCTACGCCAAATAGTTTTGCCATATCAGACTGGTTTACAATACGGCCTGTGTGCATTTAAAGATGAGATGTATAGAATTAACATTAATTGTCAAAAAACTTTTAAAATATTTCTTACTTAACAAGGAGATAATGAAATAACTAAACGGGCAAAACGGATAGGTATCCGTTTTGCCCATATCCGTTTTGCCCAAGACGCTAATATTAGTAACAAGTCAAGACTTGAAATGTTTTAGTAGGTAAACAAAAAGTAAAGATTACAATTAATGATACTTAAATAAACGTGCAAAATAAATAAACAAAAATATTCATAGGCAACTGATGATTTATACAAAAAGTTTGTGTACAAATTTTCACAAAAATCGTAACAAAACAACGATAATCCTTTTTTTCTCCTTCTACAAAAAATGCACTCGCGTATTGTTTTGGTCAAACTGTCATGGCGTTACTGGTCGCACATGTCACGACTTGAGAAAGTGTTATAGCGCTATCTATTATATATTTCTAGAAAAATCAGTTATTCTTCTTACCCACGCTATGCTTCTTGCCCGGGCTTCCCCTATAGTAATCTTAGGAGAAAATTGAACTATTAATGTCATTGAAACTGTATTATAATATACATTAATCATCTACTCAGAAAATTCGAAAATCGAAAGCTTCTACAATTACGTACTATAAGTCTAATTTGACATGTATTAGCGTAATAACACAATTGCAGGCGATCGTGGGACACTCTCCCGTCTTATTCTATTATCTGACTGTTTCTAGGATTTCTCGACAGATTCATGGTATTTTCGTGATTTTCCATGAGATCCGACATAAGTTAAATATATATAAGAGATATATAGATAGGTAAGTAAATCAAAGTTTAATATAAAAGTCGTGGGTTTGATGCTTGCATAGTGGAAGTCAGGATTAGCAACTAGGCAGTAGGTACCCAACTTTGTTGAAGACGGAAGTTCTCGTTATTTAATAGTAGAGGCACAATAGAAAAAAAGGATGAATTATTTTGTTTACGTATGTGATAAGAATTTCATTGATTTAAACAAATTCCTAAAACTATAGTATGTTGGCTTAAATTATTTCTTTCGTAACTGAGTTCAAGTCGTGGTCAAAAGGTATTAATATTAAAAAATCTTTATTTATTTCAAATTATCTATATAATCTGTTATGGTTTCAAAGAAACGCCCCTTTAAATGTACTGTAAATAAAAAAGAAAAAAGAAGGGTTTTGCCTTTAGATACTTTGGGCACTTTGGTAGCCCTAAAAACAGTAAATAGGTTTTTCAATTCTATTCCACTTAAACTATTGACCTTATTGCATCTATATCTTGTCATTTACGAAAATGGACATAAATATACTAATCATTTTGTTATTTTAAAATTTGGAAAAAAGTCCGAAAAGAAAGTTCTATTTATTAAATATATGCGTAAATTTGAGAAAGTACCATTTTGTTATTATGTGTATTTTGACATTTGTTACTCAATCGAACGACACTGTTGAAAGAATTTAGATAAAGGTTCGCACAAAGACAGTACAAAAGAACGTTAAAAGACAAGAAAAATATTTTTCATGTAGGTGAAACTGCGATCGAATCGCAAGTTCGTAGTTCGTAGTATCGAAGTTATTGATACATATTCCAGAATATGTTCTGACATATGAATTTAGATTTGGTAAACTTTTGGTGCGGAATATGTGGAAAAAATTTGTAAGTTTTATTTAATGTCGAAAACATGGAAAACTACAACAAATAATATGTCAGTTCAGTCCTCAGTGTGTCACCACAGCACACTATCATTCTTTTGTTGCGATGAAGTCTTGAGAGCTTAGCTAGTTGCAAATAAATAGAGTGTATTCAAACCATACATTACAATTCAAAATTATAGTCGTTTGGATGAACATGCTGTTACTATTAAATGTAAGTAGAAATGTACATAATATTGTGGGAAAAAAATATCTTAATAAAACTTTGTGGTAATTATTAAATAAATAAATAACTATGTTGTTGGAACATTAACACACAGCACCATCTAGTTCCATAGTAAGCTACGACACTTGTGTTATGGATACCAGATAGTTCATATACTACATATTATATATAACTTTAAATACATACATACTATAAATATAAACACCCATGACTGGAGTACAAACATTCGTGCTCATCACATAAATGAATGCCCTAGCGGGACTTGAACCTGCGACCGCTGGCACAGAAAGTACTACAAACTGAAGCAAACATGTCGTCAAATTATTATATTACCTTATTATTATACCTCCTTACTTCTTAATTACCTATGATAATATTCATAATAATATTTTACATTACACAGGTTTTTTTATAATTTATTAAATATTTTAACTATAGAAATGAATTAAACAGGCTACGGGATTTCGGCAACATTTCATACCTACCTAAGTCATTTTAGTGTTGTATACGTAACTGAAATTGGCTGTATCGCTTTTAACCGACGCTTAAATGAATGTGGTATAGACAAGCAATCAAAACTTAATCTTCATCGTGTCTTCTCCATTCCACAAGACATTGACGAAGTGAACTGTGTCCAAATGACAAATTTATCTAAACATATAATAAAATTGTAACTAAGCCGAATGTGTACATTAAATATTTTTTAGAAAATCTTATTGAAATAAACATTATTATCGATACAGAGGTCGAATCTATAGTTTTTAGAATTTTTGTCTGTCTGTCTGTTATCGCATCACAGAAAAACCACTGGAGGGATTTTGATGAAATTTGATATGGTGATAGCTAGTTATTCGGTTCAACATATAGGATACTGTTTAGCGCGGGAAAATATCTTATTTCTGAGAAAAAATACAAAAACTGCAATGTAAGAGTACTATATTAGTATACTTTTACATAGCAGTTGTTGTATTTTGTAAAACCTAATCTTGGTTTTTGGTCATCTGAATGCAGGAGGAGCCGCGGGTAATGCTAGTAAACCATAAAATAAAGACTTGTATAGACAAACAAATTGTGGTATAGACTATTTTTTAGCATTATATGTTTTCTCCACGCGAGCAGAGTCCTGAGAAAATTTTTATATTATGTATTATACAGCACAGCTAACTTGAAGTCTTTACTGAAGGTAATTTCGACGTACCTATTTAAAACTGTATTAAGCTAGCTATTAGCTTAAAAAGTAAAGGTGATATTTGAAAATACTTTATTTTCTTATTTGTTATCTGTAACATTCAGATAAGTATAACGTTCTTATATCTGGATAAAAAAATTATAAATAGTTAAAATCCATACTTTTAATATTATAAAAGTGAAAGTGTGTTTGTTTGTTTGTTTGTTTGTTTGTTTGTTTGTTTGTTTGTTTGTTTGTCCTTCTTTCACGTCAAAACGGAGTGACGGATTGGCGTGATTTTTTGTTTGGAGATAGTTGGAGAGCTGGAGAGTGACATAGGCTACTTTTTACCAAGGGAGATTATCTAATACAATCCAAAAAAATATTTATAGAATTACTTGAAACTTAGTATTATTGCTCTTCAATAAAATTAAATAAATACGTGTTTTAACATTTTTAGAAATTCATCCTATAAGGGGGTATAATAGTGAATGGAAATTTGTATCAAACTACCTTTTTAAAGATTTTTTGTAGTTTTAGCGCGAGCGAAGCTGCGGGTTCTACTAGTAATTTATATAGGATAATGGATGAGGACATACTAAGAGTGTCCATGTTAATCTCGTAGCAACAAATGTCATTATTCTAGATACTAACTTTAACTTAGCTATTAATACGAATTACAAAAGTGTCTATATTTAAATGAACCATACAATGATGTAACCAAAACTAATCATCCATATATAATGTAATAACAAATAGGGCTTTCCCCTCAAAAATTACAGAAATCCAGAAATTATTTCTCCCTGTTCTCGGAAGCCAGGCCGCAGTTATCCGGCTTTTAGCTGCACATAAAAAGAGCAAACTCCCCGCTCTCCCCGTGAGGGCGAACTCAATCGATATGCAAGTATAATGTACCTGGGAGTCCACAAAACTGGTAAAACGCAGGACTGTCCGTACATTTCTCGTTGTTTTCCATGAAAATCTACTTTCTCTCTTACTTGTTTTCTTATTCTAAAATCATTTTATACGGAGAAACATATAAGAGAATTACTTACTGTATGCTACTTAAAAATGCAGTTAAATCAAATTTAAGAATATTAATAGCTTGGTCTTTAGTAGTAAGTTTAAGATTTTGAGTAAGTTTGTTGACATGTGGTAAAAAACAACAAATACATATACATTATACATACATATAGTGCAAAAAATACATAATTTTCTAATAAATAAATATAGTGTTTATATTTATGATATTTAGTATTATTATACCATCTACATCTGCCTTAATAATTGCAAAAGGCGAAGTATAGAATGAGACATTAATAGTATTATTTTCTTTGTCTATGTCACAGAAAAAGTGAGTGCAGTTGCCATAGCAACATTTAATAGTGTAGTCTACGTCCAATATGTACTAACTACTCCTAGTTAGCTTAGAGTGACAATATGTCATTCTACAGTCGTTGAATAATAAAAATCCAAACAAATATTTCTAGATAATAATATATTAATATTATGCTTCTATGACACAATGATTTAATAACTCTTCTTCAACGAATGTAGAATAACATCTTGTCTAATCGTTAGTAATAGGAATGAAATATCAGTCTTTTAATAATCTTATTTTACCGACCAATCTCCTTCGTGTCTTCTCCATTCTACGTGATATTGGTGAAGTAATCTGTACTCAACTGGTACGCTTTGAAGCCATGAACAAGAAAATTAGATTGAATTGAAATATTATATTATTGAAGTATATTTACGACGACGACGACATGTTTGGCTCAGTTTGTAGTGACCCTACTTGCTGCGCCAGCGGTCGCGGGTTCGAATCCCGCTGGGGCATTCATTTGTGTGATGAGCACTAAAGTGTG